TTCTGCTTATGTGGTGCTGAGGAATCGAACACAGGGCCTCATGCATGCAAGACAAGCACTCTACCACTGAGCCACCTTCCCAGCCCCACGTTCAGCTTTTTCTGAGTAGTTTATTGGAGATAAGAGCCTCATGGACTTTCTTGCCAAGGCTGCTTCAAACTGTGATCCTCAGATCTCAGCTTTCTGAGTAGCTAGGATTACAGGCGTGAGCCACCAGCATCCAGCTTCTTTCTCTCTCTTTTCTCTATGTTAGTCCTGTGGCTTGAAATCAGGGCCTGTGCAGGGTCCCGAGCTTTTTTGCTCAAGGCTAGCACTCTACCACTTTGAGCCACAGCTCTACTTCTAGCTTCTTGGTAGTTAATTGGCGATAAGAGTCTCACAGACTTTCCTGCCCCAGCCAGCTTCAAACCATGATCCTCAGTTCTCAGCCTTCTGAGTAGCTAGTTATATGTAAGCTACTGGCACCTGGCTACATAGTAAGATCCTGTCTAAAAGACAGACGGATAGATAGATAGATAGATAGATAGATAGATAGATAAAGTTTGTTAGGTCTTTGTGCCCTCAAGTAAACTAATCTGTGGAATGTGTTTGTTAATGTTTAGCAATTACTGGAGGCTTAGTCTGGATAAGTTCCTTTACCTAAGTTGCTTGAAGACTGAAAGTTATAGTGAAGGTGGTCCCCTCCCTACTAGCAATCCGTAACTAATCTCTGGGTACCTCAAATTTACAAACATTGTTTGTTTATTATGTGAACTATGCTGGGTTAATTAAGTACTAGGGACGGAAAGAAGGGTGAATTAGAAGTCAAATATGTGAGTAATCCTTGAAATGAAAGGAAAGGAGAAAAGCCATAAATGAAAGTAAAGCAAAACAGTACAAAAGACTTAAATAAGAACAGACAAGACAAGCAATGTCGCCTGGCACAGAGGAGACTGAGCTAGGAAGACTGCAAGTTTGAGTCCTGTCTGGGCCGAGACTCTGCCTTAAATAGAAAAAAACTATAAAAAATTGAAGCTGGGAACCGGTGAGTTGTGCCTGTAATTCTAACTACTCAGGAGGCTGAGATCTAAGAATTGGGGTTCATAGCTAGCCTGGGCAGGAAAGTCCATGAGACTCTTAGCTCCAATTAACCACCAAAAATCTGTAAGTGGAAGTGTAACTCAAGTGGTAGAGCATCAGCCTTGAGGAAAAAAAAAAAACCAAAAAACAAAACTCGGGGACAGGGACCAGGACCTGAGTCAAGACCCAGTACTAGCACACATGCACGCACGCACACACACACACACACACACACACACACACACACACAAATCCAGGTTAATAAGCTGAAAGAGTTAAGAGTTAGGCATAATAATTAGAAGGCAGCAGCAGTTTGAGCCAATTGTAGCCAATCTAAGCTGTATACAGGTCTTGCTCAGGAAAAATAAAGATTCAGGTATAATACTATATGACTCAGGTAATATCACAGTGCTTTATAAACTATAAAAGACTGTAATAAATTTGGGAGCAATTTGAAGGTAAGGTGAGGAGAACTGCTAGAACCAGAATCCATATCTTCAGATTAATAATCATGCCAGCCAGGGCTGGGAAGATGGCTCAGTGGTAGAGTGCTTGCCTTGCATGCATGAGGTTTTGTGTTCAATTCCTCAGCACCACATAAGCAGAAAAAGCCAGAAGTGGGGCTGAGGCTCAAGTGGTAGAGCACTAGCCTAGAGCTGAAGAGCTGAGGGACAGCACCCAGGCCCAGAGTTCAGGCCCCACGTCCGACAAAAAAAATAAGATAAAATAAATTATGCCAGCCATTTTTTCTCATTGTATGTTTTTAAATTTTTTTTATTATCTTTAAATAGTTGTACAAAGAAGTTCCATTCTACAAAACAGTATATGAATACAAAGTGTCTGACAACATTGTCACCCATTGTTCCTAACCCACCTTCTCAGTGCATTTGTAAATATTTGGGTGTCTAGATCTATTAGTCATCAGCTTAAGAGCTAAAGAAATCATCCTATTCAAGATAAATATAAATAGAGGACCTAAACAATAAATATGATGCTTTCTCTGGAGGAGGGGAAAGGTGAACAAACAAATATAAACAAGGGGTTAGGAATGTAGCTCAGTGGTACAGTGCTTGCCTAGCATGCATGTAGCCCTGGGTTCAATTCCTCAGTACCATATAAACAGAAAAAGCTGGAATTAGCACTGTGGCTCAGGTGGTAGAGTGCTAGCCTTGGGCAAAAGAAGCTCAGGGACAGGGGCTGGGAAGGTGGCTCAGTGGTAGAGCGCATGCCTTGCATGCCAGAGGCCCTGGGTTTGATTCCTCAGCACCACATAAGCAAAAACAAAAAAGCCAGAAGTGGCACTGTGTCTCAAGTGGTAGAGCGCTAGCCTTGAGCTGAAGAGCTGAGGGACAGCGCCCAGGCCCAGAGTTCAGGCCCCATGACCGGACCCAAAAAAACAAACAAACAAACAAAAAAAAGAAGCTCAGGGACAGTACCAGGCCCTGAGTTCAAGCCACATGACTGGCAAAAAAAAAAGTTAAATACAATTATTACAACTTGTGATAAATAATATAACAAAAATGGGTTGTAGATAAGATTTCTCTAAGCAGGTGATGTTTAAACTCAACCTGAAGAGGCTAAAACCATAGGAAAGAGTTGAAGGGGAGAGCTCTCTTGGACAGAGGAGACAGGAAGTCCAAAGTCCTGAGATGGAAAAGAGCTTGTAAGGAAAGTACAGGATAAGGATAAAGTCAAGTTACAGTATAGAGAGGCTAGATCATGGGTCACAAACTCAATGCTCAAATGCACAGCGGATCTGAGAATGTAAAGAGAAAACTGGTGAGATGTAAAAGTGACTAATGCAGATTGGGGAATACTGAAGTAGAACCTGTCCCATCTATAGAACCATAGGTAGTGTATGTGTGTGTGTGTGAGTGTGTGTGAGAGAGAGAGAGAGAGAGACAGAGAGAGAGACAGAGAGAGACAGAGACAGAGACAGAGACAGAGAGAGAGTGTACGTACTAGGGCTTGAACTCAGGGCCCAAACAATGTCTCTTACCTTTTTCAGCACAAGGTTGTTGCTCTTCCACTTGAACCACACCTCCACTTCTGGCTTTTGGGCAGTTAATAGAAGATAAGAGTCTTTTGGACTTTCCTACCAGGACTGTCTTTGAACTGTAATCCTCAGATCTCAGCCTCCTAAGTAGCAAGGATTGCAGGTGTGAGTCACTGGTGCCCAACATTATTATTTTTTAATTATATTTAAGTAGTTGTATAAAAGAGGTTTTTCAATTCTGTACTTTTTGTATCGGTTTCGACGCATTCTGTTAGTTTCTGTTCATTCCTATCTTGGTTGCTAAGAGGAAAGTTTACTTTTCGAGTCCTGTCATTAGGTTTTGATATGTAGCCCAAAGTGGTCTGGAACTCAAGATTCTCCTGCCTCAGTATTGGAACTACTGAACTTAAAGGCATGTTCTACCAGACCCTTATCAATGCTTCCTCTTCCTTCTTCTTCTTCCTACACCTGGCCTCCTCCTCCTCCACCCACCTTCCCTCCCTCCCTCCTTCCTTCCTTCTCTTTCTTCTCTCTTTCTCCCTTTTCCTCTGCTGCTGCCGCCTGCCTCCTCCTCCTTCTCCTGTTCCTCCTCCTCTTCCTCTTCCTCCTTCTTTGTCTTGCCAGTCCTGGGGCTTGAACTCAAGGTTTGGACACTATCCCTGAGCGTTTTCTGCTGAAGGCTAGCACTTTACCACTTGAGCCACAGCGCCACTTCCAGCTTTTTCCATTTATGTGGTGCTGAGGGACAGTGCCCAGGCCCAGAGTTCAAGCCCCATGACCAACCAAAAACAAACAAACAAAAAACAAAAAGGCTGTTGTGAAGTTAAAATGAGATAAAAGCTATAAACTGAGTTAGGTGCCAGTGGCTCATGCCTGTAATCCAAGGTACTCAGGAGGCTGAGATCTGAGGATCCAGGTTTAAAGTCATGTCAAGCAGGAAAGCCTTTGAGACTCTTATATTCAATTAACCGACAAAAACTTGGAAGTTGGGCTGGGAAGGTGGCTCAGGCGTAGAGTGCTTGCCTTGCATGCATTAGGCCCTGGGTTCCATTCCTCAGCACCACATAAGCAGAAAAAGCTGGAAGTGGCGCTTGTGGCTCAAGTGGTAGAGTGCTAGCCTTAAGCTGAAGAGCTGAGGGACAGAGCCCAGGCCCAGAGTTCAGGCCCCACGACAAAAAACAAAGCAAAAAAACTTGGAAATGGTGGTGTGGCTCAAGTGGTGGAGCCCCAGCCTTGAGCAAAACTGCTAAGAGACAGTTCACAGTACACAGTACACAGTACACACACACACACACACACACACACACACACACACACACACACACACACACACCTTGAAAATCACTTAGGCTAACATTCCAGCCCTATTCATCAATGTTTCTCTGGTGGCTATTATCTGGCAAAGTTTCAGGACAGTTTCGTAGTCTTCTATTCAGTTTTCCTTACTATTTGTTCTCCCACACACGAAGTTTTCCATAATAAAGAATGAGTTGAAAACTGAAGTGTAGGAGGCCCAGACATAGATACCCAGAAAATACTGGGTTATTACAGCATAGCAGGAACTCCTGCGTGCTTTCTCAGCTTGCCTGACTGGCTTGATCCAAAATGCTAGCTTAACCACGGTCTAAGTAAATCTTGGCCGTTAGTAAAACACTGACACTGGCAGCCCTCACCAAGGGGGAGATGAGAGAGTAATCTCTTAAATTTCAGAATGCACTTCTGCAGGCAGAAAAGATCCCGCCTCCTTCCACGGGAGAACCTATCAGCGTTTCTCTAGAGATGCCCGGCCGCTCCCTAGCAGCCAATGAATTCCTCTCTCTGGAAGGAACCCGCCCATCCCTTGTGTCGTCACCCTGGCTCTTAAAATGATAGAACTAAACCTGGGGCTTCCTGGGTAGTTAGCCGAGTGGCGGGTGTTTGCGGCGAAACGTGACCGTACCCCGACCTTAAAGGGGAGGGAGCTGAAGAGTGGCTAGAGCCCTTTAAAACAAGGCGGGCTGGTGCCTGCCCCTTTAAGGGCGGGGCGTGCAGCCTTAATCTGAGCCACAGATTACCCCGAGTTTCCGTCACTGGCAGCGAGGAAAGGCTCCTTAAGAGGGTCCGGGTGTTTGGCGGCGGCGGCCTCATCCCCCGCTCGTCCTCTCCCCGGGCCCAGAGATACCCCCCCCGCCCCAAACTCCAGTCATGCTGAACAGAGTATGGAAGCAGCTGACTACGAAGTGCTATCCGTGCGAGAGCAGCTATTTCACGAGAAGGTCCGCGAGTGCATCGTGAGTAGGGAGGGGATCTGCGCAGGGAAGAGGAGAGCCAGAGGTGGGGGACGCGGTTGGGGGAGAAGGCGGTCGGTTGGGTCACCTCGGATGGGGGAGTTGTGACCCACTTGGGCTCCCCCGAAATCCCGGCTTGGAACCGGGGTCGGGAGACGAAGGCCTTGGGTCGTAGAGAGAGTGTAAAAGCTGGGGGGGGGGGGACCCCTGGGTCGGATCAGCTGGGTCCCAGCGCAGTAAACAAAGCCCGGCGGTTTCCGTTCCTCCCCCGCCCCCCGCAACCCCTCCCCCAGCCCCTCCCCCCCGCTCTGCTGGCCCCCAGCGGGCGTTACGGGAGTGGGGGGGGGGGGGGGTTCTGAGTGTAAAAAGACCCTGGAAAGTCCACCGTAGTTCAGTCCACGGTCCGAGAATGACGGATTTCTCTGGACGGGCGCGTTGATTTGCGTGTGCCCCTCATTTGCGTGTGCCCCTCCACCTGGATGGATGGCCCTCGCAGCTAACGTTGGGGTGAAGGGGAGACTTCATCCCTTGGAGCTGGATTCCAGGAAGGACCTGGGAAGGAGGCGTAGTGGAGGTTGGCTGGCGGGAGGCATAGGAAGGAGACTTCGTGTGTCGGGCTCCCACTTGGAAAGAAGTTACTGCAGCTGAATTCTGAAGTGTGGAAATGGGCCACGCTGGTGGTTTTCCTCCTCATGGGAGCTTTTTTATTTTTGTTTGTTTGAGAATTGAATCCAGGGTCTCCATACTAAGCACATGGTCTACCACGGAGCTACACCTTCTTTCCATCTTCCTTGGTGGTTTTTTGTCTGTCTGTTTGTGTATGTGTGTGTGTGTGTGTGTGTGTGTGGTGGGGATTGACTGCATTATATTTATAATTAAAACTTTTTCTTCTTTTTTTTTTGTACATCTTCAGTGCACAAAAGTTTCATTACATTTGCATGTATGTGCTCCCTAATGTTTGAAAATGTTTGAAACCCTGCAAGGCTAGGTTTCCAGCTTCCCAGCCATTTGTGGATTTCCTCTGGGAGTGGTCCTTTTGTTTCTGAGCAACTCTGGCCCTCACCCCCCCTCACGGTCACCTAGCCCAACACTTCTGGGCTGTAAATGCCCTAGTAGAGTTTAGGGAGTCGCATCTTATTTAGGCCTACTTTACATTCTCATCTCTTTTTCTCAGTTTCTTCCCCATTCCTCCTCAAACATTGAATAAAAAGGGAAAGATTTGGAGGAATAGAAAGAAATGGGGGTGGGGGATCACTGATGGAGTCTTTTTATTTTGTGTGATATCAGCTTTTTTTTTTTTTTTGGTGACAAGGTCTTGGTCTGTACTAAAGAGTACAGATCTTACTACTACAATATGGGCCAGGTTAGCTTCAAATTCACTATCTTCCTTTTTTAGCCTCCCAAATTCTGAGATTACAAGCCTACCAATTCCTAGCTTCATTATTTTTCTCAGGCTGCGCTGTAGGCCATTCTGGAAATCCTTAAATTGGGGATTTAAAGAAAAGGTAAAATGAACCAAGATGTAATGGAGTCAGCCCCTACTTGGATAGCTGGAAATTAGGAAGTGTATCCCTGGATGAGGTCTGCTTCCAAGAAGCCTTCCTTTCTTGGTGTATAGGCTCTTTGGGCATTTTTTACAGGCACACCCCAGGCCTTGAGGCAGTGTAGAACCAGAGGCTCACATTCCTAGAATACAGGGAAGGATGAGAAGCTGTACGGAAACAGTCTCCTAGATGTCTCCCCAATCCTTTAGTGCTATTAGCTACTTTAGTGATGGATAAGGGCAGCCTTAATGCTTCTGGTGGCTCCCCCATCTGGCACCCATCTAGAGCCTAGAGAGCAACATAACCTCTGCTGGAACTGCGTGGAACTCTGGCCTGACCTTTTGAGCCCTCCCACCTTCCTAGCTATTACGCAAGTTCAGGGCAGAGCACTAGACTGTACAAGTCGTGTAGCTACAATCTGAGTGGCTCCTTTCTAATTCTCTAATGTCAGAAGCTGCAGCTTTTTTTTTTTTTCTTTGTCAGTTGTGGGGCTTGAACTCTGAGCCTGGGTGCTTACCTTGATCTCTTCAGCTCAAGGTGAGCACTCTACCACTTGAACCACAGCACTTTCTGGTGGTTAATTGGAGATAAGAGTCTCTCAGACTTTCCTTCCGAGGCTGGCTTTGAACCATGATCCTCAGATCTCAGCCTCCTGAGAACCTAGGATTATAGGTGTGAGCCAATGGAGCCTGGCTGTTTTTTTTTTTTTTTTGCCAGTCCTAGGGCTTGAACTCAGAGCCTGGGCTTTGTCCTTGACCCTTTCTGTGCTCAAGGCTAGCACTCTACCACTTGAGCCACAGCACCACTTCCAGCCTTTTCTGTTTATGTGGTATTGAGGAATTGAACCCAGGGCTTCATGCATGCTAGGCAAGCACTTTTCCACTAAGCCACAGTCCCAGCCCCCTCCTTCCCTCTTGCTTCCCCCCCCCCCCCAAAACCCCTGAGTCTTCCCTCCTTGATAGATAGCTGAATGAAAATTCCCTGTGGGGTTCAGCTCCTCTAGATGATCTATATGAGGCTAATCTTAACCTTCCTTAGTAATATCTGTTCTTAACATGCTAGCCTTGATTGCAGAGCTAAATTGACCTGTTGCCCCTCCCCTGGGCAATAGTGGTTGACTTGGAATAAGGCAGAAAGGTAGCATACATACATTAATCTGGCTGGATTCTGACATAACTATTGGTACTGGTTCAGCTACTCAGTGCCATGAGACAGGCCAATAGAGGTCTGTCCCTGAAGTAAGAAATCACTTGAAATAGAGTTCAAGTATTGACTTTGTGTATGTGTATATGTGTGTGTGCACGCACGCATGCACAAATCCTGGGGCTTGAACTCAGCCTGGGCACTGTCCTTGAACTCTTTTGTTCTAGGCTAGCATACTACCACTTGAGTCACCACTCCACTTCTGGGTTTTTGGTGGTTAATTAGAGGTAAGGGTCTCATGGATTTTTGTGCCTGGGCTGGCTTCAAACTGCAATCTTCAAATCTCAGCCTCATGAGTGGTTAGTGTGAGCCACTGGTTCCTATCTTTGACTGACTTTCAAAGTGGCTGATACCAGCTCTAGGACTCTTGTAGATGTTGAGCCCCGACTAAAGCATACTCTTAGATTAAATGAGAATTAAAATGAGGCACTAGTTCAGCCCAGAGCAGACTTGGTCTTTCAGGATCCCTGAATAAATAGAGTAGAAGTTCTGACTTGATCTAGAAACTTGATTTCTACATCTTCCTGGAACTTGACTCAAGACAGCAGCTAGAGTGGTGTAAGAGGGGAGTGCCATGTCAATGTGAACATCTTCCTCTCCTCAGACCTGTTACTCTTCACAGTCATGTTCCCAAAGTATATCCCTTCTGGTCTATGGCCTGATTTAGAAGTGTGTGTGTGTGTATGTGTGTGTGTGTGTGTGTGTGTGTGTGTGTGTGAGTGTGTGTGTGTGTGAGAGAGAGAGAGAGAGAGAGAGAGAGAGAAGAATGTATGCATCTTTAGGAATTTCCTCTGCCTGTTTATTAACTAGGTAAATGGGCTGAAGCTGTTTTCTCACAGGAAAGCCCTTATAGGGCTGGGCACAGTGCTGTTACCTAAGTTCATGAGCTAACCCTTCTGGCCCTTGAGAAAGATAGAACCCCAGGAAGTATGGAACCTAATTCAAGAAAGTGACCCCCTAGGGCTGGGAAGGTGGCTCAGTGGTAGAGTGCTTGCCTAGCATGCATGAATCCTTGGGTTTGATTCCTCAGTGCCATATAAACAGAAAAAGCCAGAAGTAATACTGTGGCTCAGGTGGTGGAGTGCTAGCCTTGAGCAAAAGCAGCTCAGGGATAGTGTCCAGGCCCTGAGTTCAAGCCCCAGGACTGCTAAAAAAAATGAGGGAAGGAAGGGAGAAAGAAAGAAAAGAAAGAAAGCAAGAAAGACAGACAGACAGAAAGAAAGAAAGAAAAGAAAAGAAAGAAAGGAAGAAAGAAAGAATCCCCTGGAATGAACAGAAAGGCCTTTGAGTCCCCTGAATGTGGTAGAGATTAGAGTTTCTCATCCTCATTCACTTTCTGCCACAGATCTCAATACTTCTATTTGCGACACTCTACATCCTTTGCCATGTCTTCCTGACCCGCTTCAAGAAGCCTGCTGAGTTCACCACAGGTACCTGAGACTTCCCTCCCTTCTGACAGAGTTCTTGTTTCCATAGAGCCAGCCTCAAGGGAATGGGTGATGGTGTCTACTGGGGAAGGAAAGGTGGCTATGCTAAACTGCTTTAGAGCCTTTGCTTCTTCAGCCTGCCTTCTTATAGGCAAGGACAAAAATGTGTGGTGGGAGGTTTAGATATCTGAAATGTCTGCAAGCTGTGGGTAGCCTTTCTAATCCTTAGTTTCATCTAACAAAATGAGCATAATGTCTACCTAGGACATTGTCATTATGTGGACAAAATTAGGGCTTTCAGTGAACCTGAAGCAGGCAACTATTGGCAAATGTCATCACCGGTACATGTCCTGTATTGTCTCCTGTCCTGGTGATCCTGTCCTCAGGACCAGAGACTTCTTGACCACTGAGGTTCCAGGACCTGGTAGCCTTCCTTTTTGTAGAGAGCCTAAGTGTGTTTAGATTGCTTTCTTTCCTGAAGACTTGTGAGATAAGGGACACCCTTGCTTTAAGGTCTAACCCTAGTCTTGAATCATCTTGTCATGGTCTCAGCCTTTCTACCCCTTAGAATGATAGCATGAGCCCCAATTCAGCAAAGTGTTTGTAATTCCCCTAAGGGCTTTCTGTGAATCTCCCCTTCCTCATCTCATTTCTCTTCCCTTCACCCAACCACTGGTGTAATCAACCTCAGACTAGTTGTTTATTGTATCTGAATGCATAAGAGGAACCTGTGGGAGAAATCATAAAGAGGAGGGAGAGAAGTAAGGGGATTTCTGACATGTATTCTCTCATATAGGACCTCTGATTTGTGTATGTGTGTGTGTGCACCAGTCCTGGGATTTGAACTCAGATTCTTGGTGCTGTCCCTGAGCTTTTTTTTTTTTTTTTTTTTCTTTCTTTCTCAAGGCTAGTACTCTACCAGTCTACCACTTGAGCCATAGTTCCTCTTCTGGCTTTTTGCTGGTTAATTGGAGATAAGAGTCTTAAGGACTTTCTTGTTTTTTTTTTTTGTTTTTGTTTTTGTTTTTGTCTTTGTCGGTCGTGGGGCTTGAACTCTGGGCCTGGGCGCTGTCCCTCAGCTCTTCAGCTCAAGGCGAGCACTCTACCACTTGAGCTACAGCGCCACTTCCGGTTTTCTGGTGGTTTATTGGAGATAAAAGTCTCACGGTCTCTCCTGCCCGGGCTGGCTTTGAACTGCGATCCTCAGATCTCAGCCTCCTGAGTAGCTAGGATTACAGGCGTGAGCCACCAGTGCCCGGCTCTTAAGGACTTTCTTGCCCGGCTGGCTTTGAACCTTGATCCTCAGATCTCAGCCTCCTGGGTAGCTAGGATTACAGGCATGACCCACCAGTGTCCAGCCCTAGGATCACTGACCTTTAAGCTGTCACCCTGTCTGGAAAGGTTGTGGGGTTCATAGTGTAAGAGCTCCCAAAACCTCTTTTCCCGCTCTGCTTCCATTGAGAAGACAGGAAGAAGGCAGGGGATATGTTATAAAACAGTTGAGTACTAGAGCTGCCCATTGATGTCCTGACTTTTCTCCATGTTTTTGTTTTTTTGCAGTGGATGATGAAGATGCCACAGTCAACAAGATTGCGTAAGTATCATTGCCCTTAGAACTGGACACCATTGTCTTTTAGGATCTGGATCTAGGAAAGCCCATATAAGAACAGGAAGAAGATGGGTGCCAGGAGCTCATGCCTGTAATCCTAGCTACTCAGGAGATTGAGATCTGAGGATCACGGTTCAAAGCTAGCCTGGGCAGGAAAGTCTGTGAGACTCTTATCTCCAATAAACCACCAGAAAACCAGAAGTGGTGCTGTGGCTCAAGAGGTAGAGTGCTAGCCTTGAGCTAAGAGCTGAGGGACCGTGCCCAGGTCCAGAGTTCAAATCCCATGACCAACCAAAAAAAAAAAAAAGAAGAAGAAGAAGAAGAATAGGAAGAAAAAGGGGTGTCACCCAGTGAAAAGAGTTTCTGCTTCCACCCTATTTCTGGCTTCTTCCGGCTTTATACCTCACCCCAGGGACGCTTAGAAAAGCTGCTGTTCCTGTCTCCCTGGTTAGGCCAGGAGCTTCTGGGAGCTTTGTGGCCATGAACTGTTGGCTTGGGCCTGAGTCACTGGAACTGTCTCTAGCTTGGCTTCATTTCCTAGCAGTCACTGGGGGCTGGAGGGTGTAGATGGGGTGTGGGGTATGGAGAAGATGGGAATACCTGAGAACAGAGAATGCTTGGTTCTGGAAGAAAACTCTTACTCTAGACTCTTATTTACAAGAAGGTTTAGAGATGCCCCCACAAATCAGAAGACAGTCCTAGTTCTTCCCCTTGATGAACCAACCAGGTAAAAGTGATCCTTTTTTGCTGGGTACAAGTGGCGCACATCTGTAGTCCCAGCTGAGTGCTCAGTAAGAGCAGGCTTCAAAGCCAGCCTGGGCAGGAAAATCTGAGAGATTCTTATTTCCAATCAGTCACCCAAAAATAGCTGGACGTAGAACTGTGGCTCAAATGATAGAGCACCAGCTTTAACCAAAAAAAGCTCCAGGACAGTACTCAGGCCCTTGAGTTCAAGCCCTAAGACTGGCACCAGTCTTTTGAGCTGATACAGCCAAGGTAAAGTTTTGACTATGATGCTGGATTTCATCTTCCTTTTGTCCTCTGTGCTAGTGCCCTCTTGCAGGGCATAACAATATGACATGTTCTTACTCTTATCCAGACTGAAAGATGCAAGCCGAGAAATCCATATCTCTTAGCAGAAATGGGAAGCCATAGCCCTTAGCTTTGGTATGTCTAGCATATTCTGTAGGCATGTACGGGAGAGTCATACAATCCTGGGATAGCCTGGGCAAGTGACATAACAGGTGACCAGGTACTCATGAATACCTGAGGTTGTGCTTCATTCTCTGTGCCAGGAACCCAGATGGACAGTTTGTTTATTTATTTTGTCAGTCTTGGGATTTGAACTCAGGGCCTCTGCGCTGCCTCTGAGCTCTATTGCTCAAGACTACTGTGCTACCACTTTGAGCCACAGGGCCACTTCTGGTTTTCTGATGGTTAATTGGAGATAGATGTCTGCCCAGCCTGCCCAGGCTGGCTTTGAATTGTGATCCTCAGATCTCAGCCTCCTGAGTAGCTAGGATGACAGGTGTGAGTCACTAGTGCCTGGCAATGGACAACCAACCTTCCTTCCTTCCTTCCTTCCTTCCTTCCTTCCTTCCTTCCTTCCTTCCTTCCTTCCCCCGCCCCCTCTCTCTTTCTTTCTTGTCATGGGGCTTGAAATCTGGGCCTGGGCTCTGTCCCTGAGTTTTTCAGCTCAAGGTGAATATTCTACCATTTGAGCCACAGCACCACTTCTGGTTTTCTGGTGGTTAATTGGAGATAAGAGTCTCATGGACTTTCCTGCTCGGGCTGGCTTTGAACTGAGGCCCTCAGAGTCTCCATAATAGCCAGGATTATCAGCGTGAGCCACCAGTGTCCGGCACAATTTCATAACTCTATCATTGCTATAGCTAGTTGTGGAAGACACAGGTATCCTTGGATATAAATGGGGTTTCTTAGTCAGGTGTGGTGGTTCAAGCCAATAATTGTAACTACTTGGGAGGCATAGATGGGAAATCATAGCTTGAGGCCAACCTGGACAAAAGAATTTCTCTGGATGCCATCTTGACCAGTGGCTCGACACTGGCATGTGCCTGTCATCCCAAGATATGAGAGAAGTAAAATAACTGAGTGTCTGTCACCTGTAACCTCAGCAATGCAAGGAATCACAAACAAGAAGATCACAGTCCAGGCTGGCTCAGGTATAAAAGTGAGACCTGACATGATGTGAGGATCGTGGTTCAAAGCCAGCCTGGGCAGGAAAGTTTGTGAGACTCTTATCTTCAATAAACCATTCAGAAAATCGGGAGTGGTACTGTGGCTCAAGTCGTAGAGCGCTAGCCTTGAGCTGAAGAGCTAAGGGACAGCACCCAGGCCCAGAGTTCAAACCCCACGATCACCACCACCACCACCACCAACAACAAAAAAGAATATAAAAGTGACCTGCTGGACATTGGTGGCTCATGCCTATAATCCTAGCTATTCAGGAGGCTGAGATCTGAGGATCATGGTTCAAAGCCAGCCCATGAGACTCTTATCTCCAATTAACCACTAGAAAGCTAGAAGTGGTTCTGTGGTTCAAAGTGATGGAGCACTAGCTTTGAATGAAAAAGCTCAGGGACAGTGCCCAGGCCATGGGTTCAAGCCCCATGACTAACCAAAGGAAAACAAAAATGAGACCCTATCTCAAAAATAACCAAAAAAAACCAGGCTGATAGAGTGGCTCAAATGGTACAGTGCCTGCTTAGCAGCAGTACTACCAAAAGATGGGATTTCTCTTTTTTTTTTTTTTTAAATTTTTAAAAATTTTTGTCAATCCTGGGGTCTGAACTCTGGGTCTAGGCGCTGTCCCTCAGCTCTTCAGCTCAAAGCTAGCACTCTAACACTTGAGCCATGGCACCACTTCTGGTTTTTTCTGCTTATGTGATGCTAAGGAATCGAACCCAGGGCTTTGTGCATGCAAGGCTAGCACTCTACCACTGAGCCACCTTCCCAACAGGGAAGGTGGGATTTCTAGGTCATTGGGCAGTAGGCACTGAACTAAGGAAAGACACTGTCCTTTTCTCTGCCCAGCCTGGAGCTGTGCACCTTTACCCTGGCAGTTGCCCTGGGTGCTGTCCTGCTCCTGCCCTTCTCCATCATCAGCAACGAGGTGCTGCTCTCGCTCCCACGGAACTACTACATCCAGTGGCTCAATGGCTCCCTCATTCATGGTTTGTGGATCTAGGCTATAGCTTGGGCTTGGGAGGGGGTACAGGTAGACTAGAAGACCTAAGCAGACTTAACCAGTCATGTGTCATACTCTCCCCATCACATGTACAGTTCCCTCTGGGTTGGCCATTTACTGACTACCTCTGCTTTTCTGTTTTTGCTTCAGGCCTCTGGAACCTTGTTTTTCTCTTCTCCAATCTCTCCCTCATCTTCCTCATGCCCTTTGCATACTTCTTCACGGAGTCTGAGGGCTTTGCTGGCTCCAGAAAGGTGAGTAGAGGATATATAAGAAACCCAGGAAAATGCAGAACTCTACTGGGTCAAAAGAAGAGAGGTTGATGAATAGCTGGTTCTCAGAGGATGAGTGAAAATTACAGGAACAAGTCAGGAGCCAGTGGCTCACCCCTGTAATCCTTGTAACTCAGGAGGCTAAGATCTGAGGATTGTGATTCAAAGCCATTCCTAGCAGGAAAATCCATGAAACTCTTACTTCTAGTTAACTAGCAATTCATTGGTGCCTGCCCAGCTACCATTTCAGAGGTCTCTTTCCTGCTCCTCTCTGCCCTGATATTGACCCTCTCTTTTTTTCCTCCTGTAGGGTGTCCTGGGCCGGGTCTATGAGACGGTGGTGATGTTGATGCTCCTTACTCTGCTGGTGCTAGGCATGGTGTGGGTGGCATCAGCCATTGTGGACAACAACAAGGCCAGCAGAGAGTCACTCTATGGTGAGCGGCTGTGTTGGTTAGCTTTTCATCACTGTGACACAATACCTGAGAAGAATAGATTTATCTTTTGATTATGGTCCATGGGTCACTTGTCCGTAAAGAGAGGGAACATGTGGTAGAGCAGAGATGCTTACCTCACGGTGAATAGACAGAAAGACAGAGATCGAGAAAGAGACAGAATGAGAATGAGTGATAGTGAGCAAGTAAAAAGGGGTAAGTAATAAGATAGACCCTTCAGGGCAGGTTACTGGTGGCTTATGCCTATAATTCTAGCTACTTAAGGAGGCTGAGATCTGAAAATCATGGTTCGAAGCTAGGCTAGGATGGAAAGTTATAAGACTCTTATCTCCAGTTAACCACCAAAAAAGCTAGAAACAGAGTTATGGCTCAAGTGATAGAGGAGTCAACCTTGAGCAAAAAAGCTCAGGGACAGTGCCCAGGCCCCACGTTTAAGTCCCAGGAACAGTGTGCATGCACACATAGACACATACAAAAATAGGCACTTCAAAGGCATATACTTAGTGACCTACTTCCAAGTTTCTACCACCTTCTAATGATGCTATGGAGGTATGCATACACCAACAGATTAATCCATTAATTTGGTCAGGGAGAGCTCCCAAAAGCTCCATCTCTTTTATTAAGGAGCAAGCCTTCAACATGTTAATATGTGTGTGGGAGGGGATATTTCATATCTAAACCATAACAGAGGCCTTCCTTCATCCTCCTTTCAAGACTGGCCTTGCAGCTGGCTAATTTCCACATGCCTTCATTCAATGTATTCCTCTCGAGTGAAGACAGTTGACATAGCCATCCTTAGAACTGAAGTGTCAAACTAACGTACTTCTAACTACATCTAGCCAACAGAAATGTTCCCTTGGGGCCCATACAATGATTTTAGAAAAATGGAATGGATCAGTTGCTAACCTTCTGTTTTGTTTTTGTACCAATCCTGGGGCTTGAACTCAGGGCCTGGAATTGTCTCTGAGCTTTTGTGCTCAAGGCTAGCACTGTACCACTTGAGCCACAACTCTATTTCTGGCTTTAAGGTGACCGATTGGAGATAAGAATCTCATGGACTTTGCTGCCTGGGCTGGCTTTGAACCATCATCCTCAGATCTCAGCCTTCTGAGTAGCTAGGATTACAGGTGTGAGCCACTGGTGCCCAGCTCTGCATAGGCTTTTTATTGTGTCAATTCCCCATAAACATGAGACAAGCTGACATGACTGCTTTTGCTCTTAGACTTCTGGGAGTACTACCTCCCATATCTCTACTCCTGCATCTCCTTCCTTGGGGTTCTGCTACTCCTGGGTGAGTGTACAGGGACCAAGAGGGAATGGTGGGATCCAGGGATTACAATAATCCAGGGAGTGTGATGGGATGGAGTAAGGGGTAAAAAAGAAGTTTTGGCAAGTGTCTCCTCTTGTTCCTACAGTGTGCACTCCACTAGGTCTGGCCCGCATGTTCTCTGTCACTGGGAAGCTGCTGGTCAAGCCCCGGGTATGTAGTGCTCCTTGCCTCCTGATCATGCTTTGCAGGTGAGGTTCCTGCAAAGCTGAAACAAAACCATGAAATGATCTACCTGTAGTTGTGTAGTATACAACTTGCAAAGGGCCACGGCTCTTCTTTTTTTTTGGTGGTGCTGAGCGTAGGGTCTAAACTCAGAGTTTGCTGTCCACTTGAGCCATAGCTCCATTTCTGGCTTTTTAAAAGGTTATTATCTGGAGATAAGAGTCTCATAGACTTTTCTTCCCCGGACATGCTTTGAACTGCGATCCTCAGATCTCAGTCTCCCGAGTAGTTAGGATTACAGGCGTGAACCACCAATGCCTAGCTGGCCACAGCTTTTGTTGGCTTCTGTATCCTTGCCCCTACCATCTAGTGCTTGTCACCAGATACATCAGGCAGTACACAAGGCAACTGGGAGGGGCTGGGGCAAAGCTGCTAGCCACAGGATGGTAAACGAGTGTTAGAGGAAGGACTAAAACTTTAGAACCCTGAGATAAACAGGATTTTCCTGGAGCCCTGGGGATCACAGAGCCTCTGACAGTCTTCCCTTTGTCCTTGCCTCCAGCTGTTAGAAGACCTGGAAGAGCAGCTGAACTGCTCTGCCTTTGAGGAGGCAGCTCTGACCCGCAGGATCTGTAGTAAGTTGTTTTCTCCCTACTAGACTGATGGGCCTAGCCTGGGAAGTGACTGCAGGACTAAAGGGCAGCGCTATGTTCTCTGCCCTCAGATCCCACCTCTTGCTGGCTGCCTTTAGACATGGAGCTGCTGCACAGACAGGTCCTGGCTCTTCAGACACAGAGGGTCCTGCTTGGTATGTATGTTGGTAGGATTTGGAATACCTGGGTTTCCCCAAGGAGAGTAACCCCTTGCTCCAGGTATTTACTAACAGCTTCCTGTCCCTGCACAGAAAAGCGGAGGAAGGCTTCAGCTTGGCAGCGGAATCTGGGCTACCCCCTGGCCATGCTGTGCTTGCTGGTGCTGACGGTAGGTATACTATCATTGTTGGGGATACAAAAGGGGTCCTTGAGAACTTCAGACCTCCTCAGGATAGAGTGATGTGGGGATCTGGTTATCATCAGTAATAGTTGCCAGCCAGGTATGATGACACGTGTTTATAATCCCAGCTACTTTGGAGATGAAAGCAGGAGGCAAAGTTAGCAGGTCTTGTCTCAAAAACAAAATTGTCAACCAAAAGGGATGGAGGTATGGCACAAGTGGTAGATTGTTTGTCTAGCATTCAAAAGAACCCGAGCTCAATTCCTGAGGTCAGTGTCTTGATGTCAAAAAAAACATGCCTACATTGTGTTGTATCCTGTGCTGAGCACATGAATTCCAATTTGCAGGTGAAGAAATGGAGGAGCAACTTTTAGTGTTTATTCTAGTTTGACCTGGAATAAGAATAAGGGTTGAACTCTCATCCATTCCCTCCACTTGCCAGATACTTGACTCAGGAATAGGTCTTGCAGTCAGAAAGAGGTACTCTTTTCTAGATATGACTTTTTTTTTTTTTTAAGTTTTGGTGAGGAATTATTTTAACATAATATGGTTAAAGTAGAAATAAATAGAAGATAAGAGAAGTGATTACTGCCCCCTGTGTGGGAAATGGAAGCTAAAGACTTCTTTTTTTTCTTTTTTAATTTATTTTTTATTTCAGTGCTGGGTATGGAACTCACTCAGCCTTGCACATGATAGCACTCTAGTACTTAGCCACACCTAGCCCCTCCTCAGCCCTATGGGTATCTTTTTTCTTTCCTTTGGTACCGATATTAGAGCTTAAATTCAGGGCCTGGCACAATTTTTTTTTTTTTAAGTCAGTCGTGGGGCTTGAACTCTGGGCCTGGGCACTGTCCCTCAGCTCTTCAGCTCAAGGTAGTGCTCTACCACTTGAACCACAGCACCACTTCTAGTTTTCTGGTGGTTTATTGGAGATTAGAGTCTCATGGACTTTCCTGCCCAAGCTGGCTTTGAACCGTGATCCTCAGATCTCAGCCTCCTGAGTAGCTAGGATTATTTATAGGTGTGAGCCACGAGCATCTTGCTTCACCTGGCAATGTTTTTGGTGATTAATTGGAGGTAAGAGTCCCATGGACTTTCCTGCCCAGATTGGCTTCAAACCATAATCCTGAGATCTCAACCTCCTGCATAGCTAGGATTACATGTGTGAGCCACCAGCACCCAGCTTACTTTTTATAATATTGCCTTCTTTCATATCCTCTAAGGTGCTCTGTTGCCTTAAAGGTTTGCCCACTGCTAGTTGGAACTAGACCTAGATTTGAAAACTGAAAATATTGGACCAGATCTCTGCTTGGAACTTTGAGCTCTGGGTATAGCTGTGGGCTGGGGCAGAGTTGGTAACTGACCTTGCTGTACATAGGGCCTGTCTGTGCTTATTGTGGCCATCCACATCTTGGAGCTACTCATTGATGAGGCTGCCATGCCACGGGGCATGCAGGTATGAGGATGCCCCTCTTACCATGTCTTTTGGGGAGAGAGGCTGGGTGCTGGTTGGTGCTGGTGATTGAGTGTGCCTCAATGATACTGCCTTACCCACAGGATGCCTCCCTGGGCCAGGTCTCCTTCTCCAAGCTGGGCTCTTTTGGTGCCATCATCCAGGTTGTACTCATCTTGTATCCTTCTCACTGTTGCCTCTGCTTGTCAAACCTGTCACCTGGGACTCTTTGTTTTTTTTGGGTCCGGCCATGGGGCCTGAACTCTGGGCCTGGGCGCTGTCCCTCAGCTCTTCAGCTCAAGGCTAGCGCTCTACCACTTGAGCCACAGCGCCACTTCCGGCTTTTTTCTGTTTGCTTATGTGGTGCTGAGGAATCAAACCCAGGGCCTCTGGCATGCAAGGCATGCGCTCTACCACTGAGCCACCTTCCCAGCCCCTCACCTGGGACTCTTGACAGCACTCTTCTAGGACTGTCTGTCTGGGTCTCTAGAGGCCAGTGATGGAGAAGGGAGCAAGTTTTTCACCAATCAGGGATTCAGAAAGAGGAAAAGCTTTGTGCTAGTAACTCATGCCTGTAATTCCATCTACTCGAGCGTGCGCAGCTGAGATCTGAGGATCATGGTTCAATTCAGAGCAGCCTGGGCAGAAAAGTCTGTAAGACTTTTTTGTTGTTGTTGTTGGTCGTGGGGCTTGAACTCTGGGCCTGGGCACTGTCCCTCAGCTCTTCAGCTCAAGGCGAGCGCTCTACCACTTGAGCTACAGCGCTACTTCCCGTTTTCTGTTGGTTTATTGAAGATAGGAGTCTCACGGTCTTTCCTGCCAGGGCTGGCTTTGAACCACGATCCTCAGATCTCAGCCTCCTGAGTAGCTAGGATTACAGACGTGAGCCACCAGCGCCCGGCTATCTGTAAGACTTTTATCTTCAGTTAGCCAACAAAAAGCTGAAATGGTGCTGTGGCTCAAAGTATTAGAGTACTAGCTTTGAACAAAAGAGTTCAGAGACAGTACTCAGGCCCCAAGTTTAAGCCCCATAACTGACCCCTCACCCCCTTCAACTTGACCTTGAAAGGACGATTGGGAGTAAGGACCATTCCTTTTGAGATGAGGCATTCTTTCATCCTTTGGAGCTGGTCACTTCTTCCCTAACCTAGTGACAGTTACTTGATGGTGTCCTCGGTTGTGGGCTTCTACAGCTCTCCTCTCTTCTGGAGTCTTCGGCCCAGATGGCATGATACTACCATGACACAGGTAGCTGGGAGGGAAGTGGGAAAGCCTTCTGGGGTCTAGGGCAGGGTACTAGGTACTAGTACTCTGCTACTCCTGTTTCTTTTTCTACTCCCATGCAGATAATTGGCAACTGTGTCTGTCTCCTGGTCCTAAGCTCAGCACTTCCTGTCTTCTCTCGAACCCTGGGTAAGTAAGTGGCAAGAGGAGAAAAGGGAATTGGCTTGTTTGGGTTTTTGCCTTTGTTTTTTATTTTTTAATTTTTTTGCCAATCCTGGAGGTTCGAACTCAGGGCCTGGGCACTGTCCCTGAGCTTCTTTTCCTCAGCGCTAGCTGGCACTTTACCACTTGAGCCACAGCACCACTTCTGGCCTTTTCTATGTATGTGGTACTGAGGAATGGAACCCAGGGCTTCATGCATGCTAGGCAAGCACTCTACCACTAAGCCACATTCCCAGTCCATCTTTTTTCTGTTTTTAAGTTGAAGAAATTGAGGCACAGAGAATTTAAGGAACTTCATCTAGATCACACAGCTAGTTAGGAAGGGGTGGAGCTGGGATATGAATTAAAGCAGCCTCATCACAATCTAAGCTCTGAGCTACTACATTGTTCTCTGTACTGAAGAAAACATGGTGTGGTCAGCTAGTAGATCTCTGGTCCAAAAACAAGTTGCAAGCCTGGGAACTCCTAGAGACACCTGGAGTTAGAAGTTCAGCACTGGCCCTGCGGTGGGACAGCTTGGGAGGTGACCCCAATAATGCAGAGAAGCTGTCAGCTGTGATGTGGCCACCAGGAGGCAGCAGAAAGTTGGGCTTCTATCAGGAGAGAAGTTGGGGAGCCCTCCCACCCCAAACTTGTCTCATCCTGGAATTTGTATTCTAGGACTGACTCGCTTTGACTTGCTGGGTGACTTTGGACGCTTTAACTGGCTAGGCAACTTTTACATCGTGTTCCTCTACAATGCTGCCTTTGCTGGCCTCACCACACTCTGCCTGGTGAAGACCTTCACTGCAGCTGTGAGGGCTGAGCTGATCCGGGCCTTTGGTGAGAAAGAGTGGGAGACATGGGCTGCTGGGGTGTTGGTTCTAAGAAAGGTCACTCTAGATCATCAGGAGTGAGGGTGTGCTCCTGCTTTGTGTGTATCTTTGCCTTGGTTGCCTTAGGATAAGAGACTTCTAACTGTCCATCTCCCACTTTTCTCCAGGACTGGACAAACTGCCACTGCCTGTCTCCGGTTTCCCCCGGGCATCTAGGAAGACCCATCAGTGACCTGCAGCTGGGGGTGGGAGGGAGAGAACTGGACACTGCCATCTGCTTCCTAGTCCTGGAAGGGAGTGCAAGATGGTTGGACCTCAGGACCTAGAATCTGAAAGGTTGGGTGGCAGAGGGGAACTGAGCCATCTCTGCACTGTTGCATAATCTGAGCCAGAGTTTGGGACCAGGCCTGGGTGTTTTCAGACTTAGCTGTGGCCTCAGATGAGGTAGAGCTAGGTGACTGGATCTGGCTTCTGGTCTCAAAACTGTTTACACATCAACCTGCCTCACTGCTGTTTTGGGCCAAGCCCATAGCCATGTTTACATGATTTGATGTGCAATAGGGTGGGGTGGGAGGGGGAGGGACTGGCCAGGGGCTAGTGGGGGAGACTGGTTGTGGTCTCCTTTGCCTCTGGCCAAGCAGATCCTAAAGCACTGTGCTAACCTGGAGGACTTTGGACCACTGGAGACGGAGGGCATAGGGAAGAAGAGGCTGCACCCATCAGCAATAAAGTTGATACCAGGGTTTGCTTTTTTTTTTTTTTTTTTTTAAGAGCCTGTCTCTGTGTCTATTTGAATGTCCTTGCTCCAACCAAGTGGGATAAACAGAAAGGTCTGCTACCATCCTGTTAGTGTCCTTTTTTTGGGGCTACATAGATCTGGTGTTAGGCCATACAGTTGTGCAGTGGGACCTTAGCCTTCCTTAAAGTTGGTTGGTCCCCTTACTTTATCCATTGTCTTATCTCTGTACCTTGGGAATTGGGGGTTGAAGGGCATTGTAATAAGATACACCCCACATCTTTAGCCCTGTCCTCCCTTACTTGACACTTAGCTGTAGAGTAAATGAAACGGCTGACTATCAAAGATTTTTTTTTTCCATGCTAGTAGTAGGGCTTGAACTCAGGGCCTGGGCTTTGTCCTGTAACTTTTTTGCTCAAACCACTAGAGCCATAGCTCCACTTCTGGATTTTTGGTGATTAATTAGAGATAAAAGCCTCTGGGGGCCAGGTGCCAGTGGCTCATGCCTATACTTCTAGCTCCTCAGGAGGCTGAGATCTGAGGATCATGGTTCAAAGCCAGCCCAGGCAGGAAAGTCCGTGAGACCCTTATCTCCAATTAACCACTAGAAAACCAGAAGTGGCGCTATAACTCAAGTGGTAGAATGCTAGCCTTGAACAGAAGAGCTCCAAATTCAAGCTCCACAACCAACCAAAAAAAAAAAAGCCTCTTCTGCCCAGGCTAGCTTTGAACCATTGTCCTCAGATCTCAACCTCCTGAGTGGCTAGGATTACAGGCATGAGCCACTAACACCCAGCCAAAGATTGTTTTATCCCTATCTCAGAAAAGCACCTAAGTTGATCTTTGTAGAGGCTCTCACTTCCTTGAAGGTACTCCCTCCCCACCAGGGCTAGGGATCAAACCCAGAGCTTCACATATACGCATTGCTCTACCACTGAACTATATTCCCACCCCCATGATCACCTTCTAAATGGAAGCCAGGAATGGTGCTTTGTTTCTTTGTTTTTCCTAAATGTATACAAAGTTACTGTGAATGCTGGTCATGGAGCTGGGTGAGAGGAGGGTAAATATGGAATACAAAAAAGCATAGATTCCACAAATAGTTGCTGAGCACCCTAGTGTAGACTAGACAGTTAGCCTTGGAGATATATGATAAACAAGCTGTGCTGAAGAAATGCTTTGTCTAGAAGAGTGCCAGATAATTTTAATGCTGTACTGCCATTATAGTTAATTGCTACTTCACAAGGGAACACAGATGGACATTGTTGGGACACCAGGGAAGGCTTCTTAGAGGAAGTGATTTATAAGTGGTATAATCAGTGAGTGATGAGTGAATATATAAGCCAGGTACTGGAGGCTCACACCTGCAATCCTACCTACTCAGGAGTCTGAGATCTGAGAATCCTGGTTCAAAGCCAGCCCTGGCAGGAAAGCACATGAGTCCTCCAATTAGCCACTAGAAAACCAGAAGTGGAGCTGTGACTCAAAGTGGTAGAGGGATAACCTTGGGCAAAAGCTCAGGGTCCTGAGTTCAAACCCTACTACCAGCAAAAAAGGAGGCAAGGCTGGGAATGTGGCCTAGTGGGAGAGTGCTTGCCTGGCATGCATGAAGCCCTGGGTTCAGTTCCTTAGTGCCACATAAACAAAAAGCTGGAAGTGGTGCTGTGGCTCAAATGGTAGAGTGCCAGCCTTGAGCAAATGAAGTTCAGAGACAGTGCCCAGGTCCTGAGTTCCAGCCCTAAACTTCCCCCCACAAAAAAAAAAAAAAAAAAACAAAAGCAAATGAATGAACTGTCTTCTGAGATGAGATCTGAGTCCAGAGAAGAGAATAGATGGAAAGTGAGCCAGTGGCTCACGCCTGTAATCCTAGCTACTCAGGAGGCTGAGATCTGAGGATCTTGGTTCAAAGCCAGCCCAGGCAGGAACATCCCATGAGACTCTTATCTCCAATAAACCATTCAGAAAACCAGAAGTGGCACTGTGGCTCAAGTGGTAGAGCACTAACCTTACGCTGAAGAGCGCAGGGACAGCGCCCAGGCTCAGAGTTCAAACCCCACGACCGACAAAAATAAATGAACATGGAAAGTGAAAGGAAATAACCATTATTTCCTTACAAATTAGGACTTGAAGGGCTCACTGCTTATGCCAGTCCTAGTGCTTGAACTCAGGGCTTAGGCACTGTCCCTGAGCTATTTTAATTCAAGGATAGTGTTCTACCACTTTGAGCCACAGCTACACTTCTGGTTTTCTTGTGTTTAATTGGAGATAAGTCTTATGAGCTTGCCTGCTTGGGCTAGGTTTGAATTAATCCACCAGTACCCAGCAATCTTTAGATTTTTTTGTACTTATCTTGCTGGTCCTGGGGCTTAAACTCAGAAGCCTGGGTTGCTTTTGCTCAAGACTAACACTCTACCACTTGAGCCACAGCACTATTTCTGACTTTTTTTGTTTATGTGTTACTGAGGAAGGGAACCCAGGGCTTCATGCATGCTAGGCAAGCACTGTACCACTAAGCTACATTCCCAGCCCCCTTTAGATTTTTTTTCCCCTCAAGGCTAGCAGTCTGACACTGAGCTACAGCTTCATTTATGTGTTGTTGTTTTTTTGCGGGGGGGGGGGGGGTAATGGAGTGGATAAAGGGGTGTTGCTGGCTAATTGAAGGTAAGTGTCTCACAGACTTTCCTTCCTGGGCTGGCTTTGAACTTTGGTCCTCAGGTCTCAGCTTCCCAAGTAGCTAGAATTACAAGCATGAGGTATGGGTGTCCTTTTGGAAGCTCCAAAGATATCTGGCAAGGGTTGAGAAAGCACAAAAGTTAGAAATTCATGGAGCTGGGAAGGTAGCTCAGTGGTAGAACGCTTGCCTTGCATGCATGAGTCCCTGGGTTCGATTCCTCAGCACCACATAAGCAAAAAGAAAGAAGCCAGAAGTGGCGCTGGGGGTCGAGCGCTAGCCTTGAGCTGAAGAGCTGAGGGACAGCGCCCAGGCCCAGAGTTCAGGCCCCACGACCAGACCTCCCCCCCCCAAATAAAAAAAGTTATAGAAATTCATGACTGTAAGTACCAAGACCTGCCTATTCTGGGGGGTGTTCCCCAAGGGGGACTAAAAAGTTACTAGGGAAAATGGCCCTCTGGGATGCACACCTCCCAACCCTAGTTACTGCTGAGTGAGTAGTGAGATAGAAGCTCCGGAGGTTGGGGAGGATCACAGAGAAGGGAGGCTCTGGTGGTATGCCCAAAGGATTTGGTTGGCCTTGAGCAGAAGTTAGAACTCATACTTCCTGATGACAGCAGAGGACACGGCCTGCCAGGATAGGCTTTGGGAGAGCAAAGACCCAATTCAAGCCTCAGAGGAGGATGGTTTGCTTCCAAATTTAGGCTTGGAGGTAGAAAGATGCTTATCCAGGCAGCCAAGGACTGTAAAGCTACAAGGATTTCCTAGGCAGGTGCCTGCATGGTTTCCAGGATGGGACACACTTCAGTCACAAAATGCACCAGTGGTGACCGGCTGCATCCCCCGCCCGGGGTGGGAGGGGGCGGGACGGTCCTGGGAGAAGGGCGGGGGGCGGGGCCTGGGGCCACTTTAAGGCGGAGTCGGAGCTTTCTGGCAGCACGGGAGCCAGGCAGCATTGAGACGGGGCTGGGCTGGCACTCACCCACGACCCCCCCTCCCCCTTGTCCAGCTATGGTGATCCATGAGTAGCAGGGTCCAGGCCCCCTGGGGCATGTGGGCAGAACTAGCGGTAGCCAGGTGCGCAGAGCCACAAGAGTTCTAGGGCACTCTGGGGCAGCTCTGCCTGCTGCACACTCTGGGGACCTTAGAGATGCCCAACTGACAGGAGAGCCAGTGAGGACAAAACGCTCCCTTGTACCCAAGCCCGCTGCACCCATGGCGCTGCTGGCCACTCTGTTGCCCCTGTGCTGTTTGGCACTTTTGGCATTGCCTGCCCAGAGCTGTGGGCCAGGCCGGGGACCAGTTGGCCGGCGCCGCTATGTGCGCAAGCAGCTTGTACCGCTGCTCTACAAGCAATTTGTGCCCAGCATGCCTGAGCGAACCCTGGGCGCCAGTGGGCCAGCGGAGGGGAGGGTAACAAGAAGCTCGGAGCGTTTCCGGGACCTCGTACCCAACTACAACCCTGACATCATCTTCAAAGATGAGGAGAACAGCGGTGCTGACCGCCTCATGACCGAGGTAAGGAGATTTTCCCACCTGCTGTTTGGGTGTCACTAATCTCTGAAGTTTCCATGTGGCAACCTGGGAGGGTGAGCCTGAGTTTCATGTGAAGAGACCTTAGTCTTGGAGATCTCCCTGCCACACACACACACACACCTTCCAAAAAGGTAACCTACTGGCTGGACAGTGGTTGGGAGATATCTCAGCCGGGGAGAGGCTGTGATGGGGAGAGGGAGAGGGGCTAGTGAGAGTGAAGCTGGCAGAGGCAGGGAGCGAGGGTGGGGGAAAGGAGGATGGCGGCAGGCGAGACGGGAAATGGCTGAGGCGTGGACCGGGGGTCAGCCACTGAGCCAGGCAGGAAGGGCTGGGGTGAGCTGGGGGCCAGGAGCTGGCTGGGTAGCAGATCGAAGGATCTACCCTTAGCTTGGCTCCTGACCTGATGTGGAAAAGTTTCATAGAGGGGAGGGGAGCAAAAAAAAAAAAAAAAGGTTTGGAAAAGGATGGGCAAAGATCAGGTTATTAGTTCATCTACTTAAGAAGGGGCTGGACAGGAATTCTCTTTGGGATGGGAGAGGTGTTCTGGAACCAGAATAGAGCTACTGTAGGGTCTAAACAACAGTCTTGGGGTGGAAAGCAAATCCTCAGTGAGAACATTTGGTCTCACCTGAGAAGGACTCCTCCCAGGTTTTCCAAGCTCAGCTTAGCTCAGGGACTTTTCTTCAAATTAAAGAAATTGAACTACCATGGATGAGTATCTACTGCAGGCAGAATCCACCTGGGGTGAGATGGGCCGGGTGTTGGAAGAGAAGGACTACCTCTGACCAGTGATCAGGAGTGTCCGAAATGAAAAGA